TATATATATATATATATATATACACACACACATTTGAGTCACATGCTCCAATAGTAATGACCTATTAAATGCAAGCTCTTCAGTGATTACAGCATTACCTTGTGATCTTTGCCAAGAAGGATTTTTGAGCATGAAATGTCTGCATGATGTTGTAATATTTTTATCTCTAGGGTATGATAGGCTACACAATAGGTGACACTTGCTTCATCTTCTTCTTTTTTTTTTTGCCTTTTATTTTATATATAGTTAATCCCAGCTATTTTTTTAATTAGAATATTCATTTAAAGATGATTGAACGGGCTTTTATTGTAATATTATTCAAACAGTGTTTAAGGTGATTTGGCTCCTATGGACTATTTTCATAGACTTTATTACTGCAAAACAAGTTGGTTGCTAAGAATAAGTGTTATGTGGAGGAATAATAGGAGTTGATAGGATTATTTTAGTTTTCCTTTTTTTTCTTATGTATGCTCTTGCTTATTTTAGGAGTTATCTGAATTTTGGGTTTCTACACTTAGAGAAAATTTACAAGTTATTTGTTTTCATTTAATGTCATGGGAATTTTCCTCAAATTATATATTTCTCTTTCTTTGTCCCTTTAGGCAAACTCCTTACTCTATTGCGTCTAACTTTTTTTTAGGATGGTTATAAAATCATACCAAACTATGTGGTTACGTTGATCTATTGATCGGATTGTAATATGTCCTTCAATCGGATTATTCAATTAAAATTTTTTATTTGCAAGGGACCAGGATCAACCAACAAAAATTGGTGTTGAACGGCTTTCCCATTAATTCAAGAGCGGTTGAACCAGTATAAATATAAATTAAAATGAAGATATGATGATTTGGGACCTATTTCATGTATATTATGTTATATTAAGAAATAAATATTTTCACGTATTAGTGTCATTAGAGTTTCAAATAATTTTAATTAATTTAATAATATTTACATTGTGAACATTGAACTTTCGGTTAGATCGTGATTGAACTATTGAAACTTTAACATTTCCTTTTGCGGGTTTATTGTCTGACCTAGTTTTAAAAACCTTGCTTTCTAGCTTTCTCTCCTCACTTTGTCAAGAGAGTTTTACAAGGTGCAGCCATCTAAGGAAGAAGGTCTACAATCCCTTAAGGTAACCTACCTATTCTAATTAAGGACAAGAGAGAACAATGGATCCTTGAATTTGGTAAGAGGGATTTTTGAATGTTGGCACTTTATAAATGAAAAATGTTTAGGTAGCCTGCCCAAGTGGGAATGGAAAGTTCTCTCTTGGCCAACCCAATTGATGCAAATGTACATTCTAATTTTGATTACATTTTTAGTTGATGTATTTGTTTGTGTTTCAAAGTATTAAGCATGCCTATGATGATGGCCCTTTTACTGAAAACAAGTTGTCATCTCTACTGTATGTATTGGTTTGCTCTAGTTGCCTCCCTTGTTTATTTTTTTGTTTGAATCATTGGTTCTTTTTAATTTTTTTTTTGGGGTGCATTTCCTTGTATGTGATTTGCTTCAATTCATTTTTTCTCTAATAGGTCTTCACATGGATTTTATTGACGAGGCTATTTTAGGAAGTGTATGTAGAAAAGGGTTCAGTTTAATGTTGTTGATTAGTTAATTGCCTTAAACTTTCATAAATTTGGCTGGTGTTGTTGGGCCATGACAGTGAGTTTTTGTTGATGGGCTTGAATTGAAATCTTATTAAATTTGTTGTTGGGCTTGCTTGTAACTTGATAATTACTTTCCTGTTGAAAATGCTGGGCCAAATATGTTGATGAGTTGAATTTGAGCTGGGAATTAAGTGGTTGATTATAGTAAATGTATTGTTGATTCTAGTTGTAGAGATTGATAATGAAGATTTCAAATTTGATTATTGTATCCTTTGGTTCCTAAACTTATCTCTTTTCTCCAAGGAGTTATACGTAACTCATCTTCTGTCACCCGCTTGCCTCATCATATTGTTCTTATTTTTATTCTTGTGCTCATCTGTTTGATATGCATTGTGGCTTATTCGATGTTGTTGATTACTTAGTAACCATCCAATATTTTTTGTGGTTATCTTCTCATGACTGCCTATATAATCTAATGAGGGGATGAACCTATCTTATGAGGGAATGGTAATGAGCCTACACTATGAGGGAATTTCAAAGCCAACTTGCTTAAGGCTCTGATGATTATAAATAGAAATTTTTTAAGTGTGTAAAAGGAATTATTGGCTCACTAAAATTTCAAAGTTCCTTTGATCTAGTATATGAATGTTGGATGTTGGATTCTGATACGGCAAGAGAGGGGATCGGAGGAGGCCAGTCCAGCAAGGTCCAACTCAACCACCTGCCAGTTTAGCAAGGGCCGAACCAGCCCCTTGGCTGGGTGGAACTAGAGGAAATTTCGGCCACCCTTGTGAGGCCCAACAAATCTATAATTCATTATGTAAGGAGGAGGAATCAAGGGGAAGTTATTTAGAAAAGTTTTAATTATAATTGGGAGGAAATTAGGGGAGCCTATTTAGGGCTAACTATGTTGCTATTTTGGGATTATGCAATTTGTTTTCTGCTGTAGCTTTTTTTTTTTTTTTTTTTGAGTGTCCTAACAGCGTATAGGGTTTGTGGGAAAGCTGGTCTACCTCTCAAATAGTAGATCAATTGTATCTTGCATTTATTTTTGAAGGAGAAATAGAAATTCAGACTCTCTCTTTTTTCTCCTATGATTTTTATCTCAATTGCTTGTTGTTTTTACTTCCAAGACGCATTAGATTCCTTCAAGGGCAATGCAATTGTGATATTCAAATTCTTGAAAATTTTTCCTTTTACTGACTTGAGATTTTAATTTTCTCTACTTGGTGAATTTTTGCCTTATTCTCTTCTCTTTAACTCATTAATTTTTGAACGTGGTCATGGTTTTAATTAAATATGCCACAATTAGGTTTCTAGTTATGGTATGAATTCCAATTAAATCTTAATCGCTTCCCTCTCAATCTGATGCATCCGTACATTGGTTGAATGGGCAATCCTCTTGACTTTGAACTGCACAAATTATGGTTATACCTTTAGCATAAGCATGTGCCTTTTGGAGACATCTGCTACAAAATTGGAAGTTAGATGAGATTGGTTAGATCACATGCACCCGATTTCTTTAGAGTTTGTAGCAGATTATATAGTTTGGCTCAGGTGAACATGGGGCAGGTCACAAGTCTGTTAGTTTAACAGTTTAACTATTGAATTTCTTTTATATTGATAATGTGATTTTTGTGTGGAATTTCTGAGCCGTCGAACCATCCAAGCTTCTTTCATCTTATTTTGGGTTTTAAAGATTTTTTTCCCTCTTTTCATTGTTCATTTATTACTAGTATTTTAATGAAAGGGATGCATGAGGAGTAACATAACTTCAAGAACTTTGTTGATTCCTTGTTGATAAAAGTGCGATTTTGGTAGGAAGTGCTTGTAGAAATTTAGGAAAAGCCTTGACTTAAATCTGATTTCAGCAATTTTAAAAAACCAACAACAAGAAAATTAGGAATATAACACACAAGAACACCTTTTTATTGAAAGTTTTATGACAGAATATACAAGATACAAGTGGATCTTCAATTGGAGAGGAAGATCCGGCTCTCCCAAATCTCTAAACGCTGCTAGAGCCCAAAAGACCTAAGAGATCTCATATTTCAGTCAAATTCAAGATGCCCTAATCCTAGAAAAACAAACTCTTTAATGCATACAATCCAAAATGAAATCTCTAAACAGTACCTACATTCAAATTTTCCTCCTAAACTTCTCCTAAAACCTTCATAATCTGCTCTACTGGACTGGATGGTTTGTGCGGCTCATACAGGAGGCGGAGGAGTTCCATCTCTATTACGCGTGAGCCGGTCCCGTGTGGACCGACTGGACCGGTTTAATAATACTCTCCTCCCAAAGATCTACCTTATCCACAAGGTGAAAAGACAACACCCTCCTCCATTTCCTCCTCATCACAAATGGTAAGAACTTGAAGAGTTCTGTCCTTACATCTTGCACGACGTATACCTATCGTCACATTTGAAACAGAGCCCATTCGTCCTCTTCTCCAGTAATTTTGTTTATGTGAGCTTCTTGAAGTTGTCCCAGGTCTTCCTCCTGCAGTCTTTTCCTTTGAAGTCCCCCGAAGAGTATATGGTGTTGGCTCCTTGGATGTCAATAAGGTGGCGGTCATCATATACAAGCCTCCTATCTCTCTCTCCAGGTGCCTTTGATGCTCCACCAATTGAGCTAGCTCCATAGCCTCTCCCAAGTTATGAGGCCTCATTACTCTAACAGTTGCCCGAATTTTTGATGTCAGCCCCTTCATGAAGTTCCCCTTTAGTATTGTCTCAAAAAGGCGGTTTAATCAATTAGCAAGGTACTCGAACCTCTCTGGTACTCTATCACTAAACCATCATGTGTCAAGGCAAAGAACTGTTCGTAGAAGTATTCTCCCCTGCCGGTTCGGAAATGTTCTATCAAACAATCCTTGAACTTCCTCCAACTCCCTATGGGTCCTCACATGTCCCTCCATTGGTATCAAACCAAAGCCTCCCTTCTAAACATAGGCCCGCTACCATCAATCTCTCCTCCTCTGTCAACTCACTGATGGCGAAATATCTTTCAACCTTGTGCATCCTCCCCCTCAAATATTGGCATCTTCAGTTTCACCCTCGGATCGCCTCTGTTTCCTCTGTTCCCTCCATAATTTCCCATTTCCCAAGGGGGTGGTTTTCCCAAAGTGTCCCAGTCATCCCTTCTACGCTCATACCTAAACCTTTCATCAACTTCCCACCTACTCCTTTCAAATTCAGCACCTCTTGGATCATAATAAGCTCCTCTCCTTTCAAATTCAGCCCCCATTTGGTCATAATTTCCTCTTTCCCTTTCAAAACCCGCACCTTTCCTCTCAAATTCAGCACCCCTTCATTCTTTCTCTACCTCCTCACGCCTCTCCCCATACCTTCTACCCAGCACTTCCCTAGGAATAGGCTCTTAGGGAGGTATTCTCTCTTTACTTTTTTGAGCCTCCACCTCCTGATCTTCCTTTTGCCTTATTGGATTAGAGTTTTCCTCGCTTCCTAGGTTGTCAAAGGCTTCCCTCACCTCTGACGCCGCCGTTTTGGATTGGCCCTCGAGCAACTTTTTCAACATCTACCCCTGGCTAGAAAAATTCCCATTCATCTTCTCGTGGATGGATGAAATTTAACTTTTGACATTTGAAAGTTGAGTGCGGAGATCTGAAATTTCAGTTTTCAATTGTCCGATCTCCCCTTCCAACACTTCTACCTTTCTTCTTGCCTTGGGAACCTAGATTTAACTAGATTTATGCTCCAATAGAAAAGAGCAACAAGTTTGATGCGACTTTTGGTCTCCAATCAACAAAAACAATAAGATTTGATACAAATGCAACAAAATTCAGTGAGGAATGCTTCAATTTCAGCCTTGGAAATTGCTATTATACCAATTTGATAAGAAGTGATTATAAAAATTTAGGAAAATCCTTGACTGAAATCTGATTTCAGCAATTTCAGAAGACCAACAACAAGAAAATTAGGAATAGAGCACACAATAACACCTTTTTATTGAAAGTTTTATGACAAAAAATACAAGATACAAATGGATCTTCAATTAGAGAGAGGAAGATCCGGCTCTCCCAAATATCTAGACACCGCTATAGCCTAAAAACCCTAAGAATCTCATATTTCAGCCAAATTCAAGATGCCCTAACCCTATGTAAACAAACTCTTTAATGCCTACAATCCAAAAAGAAATCTCTAAACAGTCCCTACATTCAAATTTTCCTCCGAAATTTTTCCTAAAACCTTCCTAATCTGTTTTATTGGACTGGGCAGTTTATGCGGCTCTTACAGGAGGCGGAGAAGTTCCGCCTCTATTACGCGTCAGCCCGTCCCGTGTGGACCTGCTGGACTGGTCTAACAGATTTCCTTTTCCATCACTGTCATTGATTTGTTGAACTAATAGCATGATCAATGAAATAGATGTTTTGAATTGAAAGGGCAACATTGTTTTTTTGAAGTTGAATCGTGTATGTTTCCCTGGAGTTTTATTAATGCATTTTCCGTAGAACTCAATTTGGGCTTTATCACAATATATTGCAGGAAGCAATCCTTTGGAGAACGTTGAAGTGGAATTTGAGGCAAAATCTGTAAGGGATGGAGCTTGGTTAGTATTATCATGTTAATGTATATTTCTTTCGCTTGATGTCTTCCAAGTAGTGATGTCTCCCTAAACCCTGATCTTTCTGTTTTAAGCATGCCTTGCAATCATCCTTATCATATTTCTGAGTTGTTCTTCTTACTTGCCATTGCCCACAACTTTGATCAAAGAAGCTAAAGAGTTTGTTTGTTGCCTGTACAATTAACTTTTTAAATCTGTTATATAATGCAGGGAGTTTTAGGTGTCCAAATTGGCAAAAATAATCAATGAAGTTTTGAACATTCATTTTGCGACTCTTTTTGATATTTCAATTATTATTGGAAGCCAATTTGAACGTTTATTCACAGCTGAAAACGTGTTTGCTATGTTCTACTAGTTTACAAGTTAAACTTAATGCTTGAAGATTTACTATATAAGCATGCCAACATTTTGATTGATTAAGTTTCGGAATAATTTCTCATCAAGGTTTACAACATGATTTTTTTTATTATTTTTGGGATATAGCTTTCTCACCATCAGTAGCAGCTATGAACTGGTATGGAATAAGGCAGTATTAAAAGATAAAAATTTGAAAGAAATAAAGAAAAAAGCAAGAGAGCCTAAAATAGTTGCACTGACATCATGGATAAATGATTGAAGTTTGCTTTATTCTCATCATTACATATTTAAACTAGTTGAAATTTATTTTCCCCGCTATCTCAGATTTGATAAATTCCTTCGGAATTCGATTTAGCCCTTCATTGTTAGCATCTTCCTGTTAATCATATTGTTCTCCCACATATATCTAAGCATGTCTTCATTGCAGGTATGATGTTTCGGCTTTTTTGTCTTATAGAATGTTTGAAACTGGCGATCCGGTAATTATCCAAAACTTTATTGTGTAGAATTTGTTTTCTGAATTGATCCATATTCTACTCAGTTGTATGCAAAATGCTTTCCGATTCTCAAAACTGAAAAAAGTATATAATCTATTTTGAATGAACATGTTTTCAATGGAAACACTGGTTGTGCGTTTAGTTAGCATATCTATCTGGGTAAATCTTATTCTAGAGTTGTTTTTCATATTAGATTGTAAAAAAGTGATTTTCCTAGCGTTTTTTTTTTTTAATTATTACTGTTGGACCGTTGGTTAAACCAAACTTAAAGTTTGTTTTAAGAATTCCTGAGCATGGTATGTGCTGATTGTTTCAGGAAGTGCGGATTCGCTTTTCAGGCTTTGGTATTGAAGAGGATGAGTGGATAAATGTACGAAAGTGTGTTAGACAGCGTTCGCTTCCGTGTGAGGCTGGAGAATGTGTTGCAGTACTTCCTGGGGACCTCATACTGTGTTTCCAGGTTCTGTCTGCCTAACTGAATTTTCAATTTGTTTATATTTTTGCTGTTTTGGTTTATTGCACTAAAAGAGATGATATTTTATTAAAGATGGTCATATTTTTAAGATATGATCATTTATGTTCCCTGCATTTATTGGTCTCTTATACAGGTGCCATTTTAAGATGATCCATATACATATATATATGGTTTCACTTATGAATGCCACGCCTAGAGCTAAGCATATTTGTGTGTTAGTCACTTCAATTTTCACATTTTCATGATGATTTTAGAAGATAGAGGCCTTTGAATTAATAAAATTAAAGGAGTCTGATACATAGAAATTTAGTGGCTATGACATTAATATTTAACATTCAATAAAATGAGTAGATATTATCTATATGTATAATTGGTTCAAGTATCTTGCATTTAAAAGTGGATGGTTAAAATGGAGGAAGCTTCTTAAGAAGATATTATGAGGGCTTGAAAATATTATAGTGAGATTTATCGAAGACAAGATACAACATCATGAAGCTTTTATCCCATTATGTGAGGTCGGCTACATGAATTGCTTTTCTCCATTGTGTCCAATTAAGATTCTAATTCTTATTTAAATCTAATAAAGAAAAATCATTTCTAATATTATCTAACCAAGTCTTTTTAGTTCTATCTCTACCTATCTTAACATTAGTCAAATCTAATATATCTACTTTCCTAACCGGGTCATTGGAAGGCCGTTGTTTTATGTGACCAAACCATATAAGACGACTCTCTCCCCCCAAAGAGTATATATATATATTTATTTATTTATTTATTATTTTATTCATCTCTTTATAACTCTACTTTTTATATGAAAATAAATTGCATCTGTTACATAATTAATCGATAAGAGTCCATTTTTACATTTTTCTGTTAATGAAACGCTCACTTTGAGAAGTATGCGGATTGCAAATGGTTTGTTTATTCAATTATTCGTGCTATATTGCTTTCAATATTTGACAATAAACAGGAAGGTAAAGAGCAGGCTCTCTATTTTGATGCTCATATCCTCGATGCACAAAGAAGAAGGCATGATGTTCGTGGCTGTAGGTGTCGCTTTCTTGTCCGCTATGATCATGATCAGTCTGAGGTATTTTTTCAAATTTTAGCTGTTCATTTATTTATTTTTCTAACTCCATAGTTTGCATTGTGGTAGTTTTTTAGTGTTTCATTCAACCCGTCAGATTTTTACACAGCACAAATTTGTCTATTTATATATCTAACAACTAAATTGCACTATTTCCCTAACATCCTAATTTCTAAATAACTTAAAAAAAAATATCACATTCCTAACATCCATTGACCAACCATAATGCCACCTGAATAATGTTATTTAAAAGCAAGAAGTTATATAGATAAATTGAAAATTTTAGTATTAGACCTATAAATAAGCAAATGTTACTTTCTAGATATTAAATACACCCATATTTATAAGATATTTTCTACACATTTGCCTTTAAAATATCTTCATTTTTGTATTATTTGTAGGGCTGCAAGCGAACCAACCGTTCGACGAGCTACTCGTTGTTCGGTTCGATTAAAGCTCGTTTGTGATCGTTTAATTAACTAAACAAACAAATTTGAACAACATTTAAAATACTCGATTCTTAAATAAACAAATTTGAACACTAATATGTTCGGCACATTTATGTTCGCGAACAACATCATTTGAAGCTCGTGAACAAGCTCGACATTAAGCTCGATTCGTGTTTGATTTTGAACTTGTGAATAAGCTCGATAAAAATAATTAATTTTTGATTATAGAATATGCAATATATAAACTTCATTTAAAAATATATTCATATTAATTAATGTTATTTTCATTGTACATAGACAATTACTTTTATTATAAATGTGTTTGTTCATAAATATGTTCATGAACGTGTTTGTTTGATAGTTTAAAAAAATTTGTTAAATATGTTCGTGAACATACTCATATAATCGTTTGTTAGGAAGCTCGATAAAGCTTGTTTGTTAAGTTAATGAATATTTAAAAGTAGAGATTGTTTATAGCTCTTTCATGCTTGTTTGTTTAAAGCTCGATAAGCATTGAATATGAGCTGAACATGAACACTCATTAATTTAAATGAACAAAACATGAACACAAACAATAAAGCTCGAACAAATATGAACCAAACTTGAACAAGCTGATATTAAATGAACACTCACATACTCGGCTTGGCTCGGTTTGTTTGCAGCCCTAATTATTTGCGCAAAAAACCGAACTGTTGGCGAATGGAAAACTCAATTTGTTCATGATCTACCCAAAATTGCAGGAAATAGTTTCATTAAAAAAGATTTGTAGACGTCCAGAAACTGATAGCCGGCTGGAGTTGCTTCAGTCAAGAGCACCAGGATCTGCAGATTCATCAAGATCAACTAAAGATCCTTCTCAATCCACTTTATCAAAAGATCAAAATGTGATATCGAGAAGGACTAGAAAGCAGCGAAAATTGGTTGATGTGAACGTGGATGAGGTAATGACCATTGCTCTTCCCGCTCTCTCCAATTTACACGTTTCTTCTGCTGCCATTCAAACAGTAAATGAAGCAGAAGCAATTGAAGATGCAACCAATGCAGCAGCAGCAAATGACTCCGTTTCCAATTCTCTGGATGTAAAAACTGAAGGTAGTTGACGAGAGCCTTATTCTGTCAGTTATTATTTCCTTTGATCTATATATATATATTTATCTTATAAACCTTCCATAGTATGGGATGGAGAATTAAAGGTGTATTAATGAAAATTTTTGTCCGCTTAATTTTGATTTTGTATTGGTTATAGCTTCATCATTATAATATAGGGGTGCTGGCTCGCAAGTCAGTTCAAGCTTGACTTATTTATGGGCTCACTAAGCTCATGAGTTGAGCTCAAGCTCAAGTTCAAGCTTGAGTCAACTCGGCTCATGAGCTAACAAGTCAGCTTAAATAAATATTAATATTTTTAAAATAATTTTATTTTTATTTATTAAATTTAAATATTAAATAATAATAATAATCTTATGTACTTGGAATCAAATATACCAAAATGCAGAACCATAGAAAAATTGAAAATTAAATTACAACCATCTTGTTCCAATTGACTGATAATAAAAGAAACCGGGCCTACCAGCCCAAGGAACTCTTATTAGACTGTTGGACTCTTGCACTGTATGAACTCTCCATCTCCTCCTGCACAAATCAATAGACAAAATAACCTTAGGTGACTTCATATGCCACACATTTTCTGAAAAAGTTTTGCAATGGTTGCAACTAATATATCATTTTATAACCTTCTACAGGCAAATTCAATCAACATGTCCAAAAATTATGGATGTCTTCTCAGGTCTCAATGTAAATGGCTCTTACTTGAATTTTAATCATATATTAAAAAGAAATAAAGTGAAGATATCATGGTCAAATTTTAATGATAATAAATTTTAAAACTCTTTAACATTTATTTTAAGATGGCAAAAATATAACAAGAAGTCTTTATCCTACCATTTGAACTCTACTACATTAATCTTTTTTTTTTTCTCAGTTGTTTGATTAAGAGTTAAATTCCCATTTAAATTTAATGGAAATTTTATTTTAAATATTTTATAAACTAAGTCTTTTTTAAGTTTATCTATACATTTTTTAACATAAGTTAGATCTAATACACCTCTTCTAACAAAGTCATTGGAAGGCTAACATTTATGTGGCCAAATCAAAAGAAACCAAAATACAGGAGAAAGAAGCATGCCTTACAAGACTTCATCAATGGCTGCAGGAAGGATGACCTGAAAAACATGATGGATTGGTCAAGCGAAGTTCTTTCCCAGTCTGCTTCAGATGAAAAATGCACAGTAAGGAATGGTACTGAAAAATATACTGAATGCTTGCTTAAGTGAACAGAAAATGGCACTAAAATTGTAATCCGGTACTCAAGGAATCCTCAGTCCAGTTCTTGTGAATTGTTTCTACATTAAAGGAAATTAAGAATAATATTAAAATCTTAGATCATTTAGGTCTCTTACCATTTTCAACGTCCATTTGCACACCACCCGCATTAAGTTCTTCTAATAGCTGCAAACGTCTAGAAGGTCAGGTCATATTGAAAATAGATATTAAGGTTGTCAAGTCTACATAGCCTAACATATTATAGAATTCATAATTCACGAAATAATAAGGCTAACTGAACAAGGCTTGTTGTGGAACTCATACCAAAGAAAGGGTCGGCACAGATGTAGGGTCAAAATCATCGCAATGCTTAGGATCAATAGGAATACAGACACGTCCTGAAACACACAGCAGAAATAAAAATTTGTAGACATGCAACCTATAGTATGGAGAAAGGGTTCGTGTGCTAAATGTGTCTAACCTGTTTTTGGGTGTACACAGAAAGGTGCCTTCAGCAAATGGTTCATATGCTTTGAAACCTGAACTAGAAAAGCAGATTCATGAGACAATATATAAAAAAAGCTCATATGAATCAGTGCGATAAGAGAATTCTACCAACCTCCATGTCAATTCTTGGAAAGGTGTAAGAGAAAACAATCTCTTCAACACACCTACGGAGTCCCTGTGCCAAAAATAAGGTTTATGCAATATGAATGTGTTACAAAATGCAGTTCAAAATGAAGTCATGGGAACAAAATATCACAATAGATTCTAACCAGATATTGAGAATCCAAGTTGGATAACTGTTGTATCATATATGATAGACTATTAAACCTACACCAAACCCTCCACTTGCTTGTGAAATCTCAATCAGAAGCAGCGCACATTCAAACTATCTTAATTGGTTTTTATGTACTTAATTTTCAGGTTATGTCAATGATCTAGTGATCTTCATTTCTTAGTTTTAATATGATATACATCCTCATGAACTCCCGTCGCTTTATTCAAAAATTGAACTATATTGCTTATTCCAGTAGCATTTTCATTTATGTTTTGATATATCCATTTACACATAATAAGATTATGCATGCTAATCCTCCTAATGCTCTTGGCAGGGCACCAAAAAGATATAAAGCAGTTCGATGGGGTGATCCACATAGCCTTACCAACATTTTTAAAAAAGAGAGTAATTGAAACCTTTAAAAAAATTGGAAGAAGAATCAAATAATTTCATTTTTGAAATGCATGATCAAATAAACCTATCTCAAATTGCTCGGTCTATTCAGCATGTTTCACCAGCTCTGATGTTTTTACAGTCCAAATTGGAAATCACAATGAGGAAATCAGCTTAGAATAAGAATAATTAAAGGAAAACCTTATGCTTTCCAGACTGCAACATGCTCTTTAATTGGTCCCATCGACCTTCTTCAGAAGTGGAAGATCTCTTATTCCCTTGCCATTTCTCATGTATCTCTGAAGCAACAGCTGAATAACTAGAAATCTCAGAAATAATAATATTTTTCCAGGCGGAAGATGAAAAAGCATGTCAGGCTTACATTTATCTGGAATGATATCAAGGATCTTTTCGTATCTATCTTCAACAGAAAATAGCTTTTGGTTGTGTATCAGTGTCCTCTCAAAATAGTCTAGCAAGACATCTGTGTACGCTCTCCTGTTCAAAAATTTTAAATTAGGAAACCTTCTTAGTTAGTTATTAGATTGCCAAGCAGAAGTTCTATTGAACAATTTACTTACGCAAGAAAAGGGTGAAGAGCTAGGCCTGTTAATGATGCTTTCTTCAATCCATTTTCACTACCCTATAGTAAAACAATAATAATGAGTGCATAGTTCTAAAAAAAACTCGTTCTGAATTCATAAGACAAGCTATCACCTTATATACATGGAAATAGTCTGTAATAGATGACCTCGCTTCATTGCTCAGCCTGTCAAAAATTAAGAAAACTATATTAACACCATACATGATATAAGTGGATACAGAAATCCATGCCTATCAAAATGTATAAATATTTTCAGGTTATTTGGTTGTATGTATATTACCTTCTAGCCCTACCATCACAAACCCAACAATGAACACCACGACGGCCACTATATACCCACAAAATGTGATTGAATCCAAAATCATCTGTGATACAATAAATAGTTAATTAAACAGATATTCTTAGTGGATAAAAGTTTTTCAAGGTAACTTCAATAAAGCAGTAAATTTCCAATATTAGTAGGAAGAAGAAAGAGTTATCCTAGGTATTATAGTGAATAGCACATTTAATTCAACCTCTTAAAGCAGTGTCTATCACTTTAATGGCAATTGCCATTAAGGGCCAACAATTCAAGCAGATATCTGAACCAGAACAGCAGTATCTAATATCATCATATTCAGTGATATCCTGTTGCAATAAAAGAAAATGAATCACAAAAAACAAGCACATATCTTTATAACTTGTCTCATTCAGTTAACTGAATATGATAAGCTTACAATATCAAAAACCAGCTCCCTCTCAACAGGTGTGAATACATTATTTCCAGCTTGCACATATGCATGCCTTTTTGAAGGCTGTGAAAAATTTTTTTAGATCACAGTGAGTGAAAAATTATCATTAAGAAACAAATCCTGTAAATTTTAAGAGGAAAACCCTTGAATAATGTTGGCAGTAGAAAAGGTGTTTGATCATACATCTACACTATACACGGGTCCAATGTCAATCTTGGAAGGGCATTTCTCCTTAATAGAGTTCTCAAGGTCAGTTGCACTTTTGAATGACTGAAAACGGAGGTACACATCATTCTCCAATGTGAAAGAAAATTCTCTTCGACTGAAGTAGGATTCATCACATGCAGGATGTTTTCCATCTGCAGGCAAAATTAGAAACAGATTCAAGAACAAAGAATTGGCTGGAATAAATGTATTAAAAGATTATCCTGGCAATTTTTGTTATACCATTCCCGTACGACATCCATCTAAATATATCAGAATATGGAAAGAGCTTTCCTGCAATGAGAATGAATACACAATCGGTGAGCAAAACCATGATCCCAAGGAAAAAAGTGCGTCCATGCCCAAAAAATTGAATAAGCTAAAGATTAACCCTGCTGGAAAACCATATATTTGTTGAATTACCATGGAAACTATAGAAGTATTAGCAAAGCTAAAGCAATGACGATCAAGAAAGAACCAGATATTGACATTCAAAGAAAGTAGCCAATAGATAATAAAAATAGCAAACATCATAACGAAAATTGCATACCATAATAAACTTTAAGATAGTCAAAGCTAAATTCATGAGAGCATTTCTTCAGTTGTTGATTCCCTGAAGAATGTAAATCAATTTCCATGTCATCTTTTTCATTAAAACTTCCTTCCTTAGTCATGATCCCAAACCTAATCCTGCTTGGAGAAAAGGATAAGCGAAACTTGTTATTAATTTAATTTAGCACATATAGCACGATGTCATTTCAGTAGCATATTAGGGGCTGTTTTGATGAGGGATTTGGGCCAGATTTGAAGCGGATTTGACCTAAATCCAGCCAAACGGCCAAAAATGCAGAACCAAATTTCACGGTTAATCAAAGACGCGGTTGACGGAAAATTTCCTCTTCTCGTGGTAAATCCCGGATTTACGAAATCCTTTGGTTAGGCGGATTTACGGGATTTGGCCGAAGAAGCGCGCGAAAGGAAGAAAGTTACCTTCACAGAAAGCGAGCTCCCGTTGTTGCTTCCGATCAAAAAATGTCGTAACTCCGCTCCAACAGGAAGGGAACGTCGTCGAAGGAGAAGTCGAACAGCTACGAAGAAGAACTCGTGCAAAACTCCCCCCGTTGCTGCTTCCGATCAAAAAATGTCGTAACTCCGCTCCAACAGGAAGGGAACGTCGTCGAAGGAGAAGTCGAACAGCTACGAAGAAGAACTCGTGCAAAACTCTACACGAACGACGCCGAAAGAAATAGAGCGGGAGAGCAAAAACCTATACTCCTGTAAGTTATTATTGGGTAACTTAATTAATATAATTTAAAATATTAATAATTAAGTAAACTAATTAAATAATTAAT